GGCAGCAGTGGCTTTGCCCCGCCGCGGCCCATCCGCTCCCGACTGCTGGGAGAGGGGGAAGGAACCGTCCGCCAGCCCGCAAGCTGGGCAAACTGGGTGCCCATCCCCAGCCGGTCCATGTCCCAAGCTACCGCATGCGCCGCGGTACACCCCAATGGCTATTCCTCGCCGCCTTCCTAACTGCTAGCTTTGTTTGAGGTTTGGCCCTTTCTGCAGAGAGATTTTTATGTAATTTTTCTCCTGTTTGTGCCACTGAGGGCAGTAGGATGGGTGATGAGGCAATAATTACTGATGAGCCGTTAAAAAATTTGGAGAGAAAAGAAATTTTGCTTGAGGAAGTCTTGAAAAACTGTAATGCAATGAAAATATATGAATGCTAAGAAGCCAGTCCCTAGATACTGTTTGTTTTATTAAACTTGTATTTTGAAAAGGAAAGGGAGAGCAAGTATTTTGAGATATCCAGAAAAATCACAAAGATGTAAACACAAAAATTACAAAAAGGCAGAGTTGACCTCTTACTTTGCCTGCTGCGTTCTGGGAGTCAACAAACATGGCAGCAAGAGAGTCTTCAAGAATATTCCATGAGTGGAAAATGGAGAGAGAGGAAACAAATAGCCATAGCTATTTGTAGCTGTAGAAGTGTAGCTGCGTGTATGAATATGTAGAGGCAGTAAGAAAACTAATGCCCTGAAAAGGAAGATCTAGCAAGAATACAAAAGCCTGCTCCTCTGCTTGGAGTTTCCAAAGGGATCATGATTCAGGGTCGTACAAAGTGTTCCTGACAGCTGGTGTTAGACAGCCAGGCTCATTTCATTAGTAAAAGGGAAGAAGGCATTCACACTTCTACAAGAAAAGAGTTATCAACAGGCATAACTGAGACCAGTAGTTCAGGACAGGCTTCCCCTAAGCTCAGCAGAGTCCTGGTGAGTCCACATCGGTCTACCACATTGCTCTAATCTGTGTGTGCCATCCCCTCTTCTCTTACACTGCAGTGTTATGCTCTTTACATTGCAGATGCGGCTTGGGCACCATAGGCACTCCTGTACTGACCTGTGACCTTGAACCCTGTGTTCTGTGAGATTGTTCATGTGTCAAAATCTAGGTCTGCTGTTTTTTAAGTTCAGCAGTAGGAACTCATATGGAATGCTTTAATGACCATCGTAAAGAGTACTGTAAGAGAGTCAGTAATTAGATTGCTGTAACATTCTCCTCATCTACTTGGCTTCCCATGTGCCATAGTAACATTTCATAAGATGTAAATAATCAGGAAGCTGAGCAGCGATCGCACTGAAACGGAACATGCCTGTGTCCTCTTCTCCTCACCCCCACACAAGGCCGTTAGTTAATAAGGAAGAATTACCCAAATTTAGGATATATGGGTCAAAGAAACTGGTACAGCTCAAACCTGCTTTTAATTCCAGCAGGTGGGGTGGGTTATAATTTTGTAGGGATTGGTGCTAATCCGGTGGAATTTAGCTAGGAGGGAAGGGAGGACAAGGAGTTTAATGTCTCTCATTGGCTGGACTTCAGGAATCACTGAAACTGAGGGTTAGTTGGTTGCCCTCATGATGTCCTCATGGTTTTCTTGATTAAAAGTACTCAGTCCCCTCCCAAGTGAAATAAACAGGATAGCAGTATCAGTACCACCCTTATGAATAAAACTTAATTGGCATTGAATGTAAACTGTGTCAAGAGCTTTGACTGACTTACAGGAGGGGAGTTACGGCTTTTTTAGCTTCTTTCTTGGTATGTAAACAATGCCTAGATCAACATGTGATCCTTTTAACATTTCTTCACCACAAGACCTCCTAATCTGCTCAAGGGTGCCATACAACAGGTCAATTTGCTGCTGTCTTCTCCTTACAGGATGTCATGTCCTTTATCCTGCCTTTGTCCAGGGGTAGCTTTTCTTTCTACTGTACCAGGCTGAATACTGAATTCCTGTGGGAGCCAAAAGCCACAAGACATGGACCATATGCCTCAGGAGAGTGGGAGGGCATGGTTTCTTCCCAGGCAGGAAGTCATAATGGTTCCTCAGGCCTTCTGCTGTTCCCCAGTGAATAGGGCTGGGCACACAGTTTTGTCCTACGGGACCCAGTAGCCACCGTTGTCTTCATTGGCTTCAAACACGAGGACTTTGCTGAATAATCCCTTCTGGCAGCCCAGTCCTGCTGCCGTACATGGGAGGCACCAGAGTGGCAGCTGGACCACACGAGAGTTCATGTTGCTACCTCTTCCCTGGACTCTTTCTCATAAACCGGTGTGCTTTACACTGCTGTTCCCAGGCTTTTCTATTGTATTACCATACATCAGCATCCAAGAGGAACAGGGGTAGTTTCTAAATTTAGGTCTGTCCATCTGGCAACGTTATAAATTTTAAGCTTAATGGGAAGGTGACTGATAGAGCTACTTAATTAAGCCATTAATGGTGTGTTACAGGAGAACATTTCGTTCCTGTGTATGCTTTTGAGGAGAATAGTATGTCTTCAAAGTAGGGAGGAGTCCAGGTTTTTTGTTGGTTTGTTGGTTTTTTTTTTCCAGCTTCCAGGCATTGTTCGTGACTCACCCAATTCTTTCTCTGCTCAGCTTCCGGTCCGCACATGTGGAAGGACCCGTCTCCAATTCTGTTTACTTACCATAAATGCTCTGTGTTCTGAGGGGAGAAGCAACTCTGAACCTCTGGTATGCAGCTTCATGCCACCCCAGAACTGGGTGACAAGATAGGGAAAGGCTAAACAGAAAGCTGCCACTTGTCACCTGTTCTGAGGTAAAATGTTTTGCTCTGAGTGCTGCTGAGCTCTCTTCAGTCAGCGGAGCATTGTGGGAAGAATGGGACTTTGGTTGGAAGATTCGCTATTACTCAGCATGTTTGCTGAAATAAAGTCACTGCTTTTTCCTTTGAATTTCTGCACAAGTTTGCAAGTGGCGAGAGCTCAGCCACGGAGGGCTCTTCATCACTCTGTGCCTTTCCACTTGGAAAAGGTGAAACCCTGTCTATAAACCGCCAATGCAGTCACATATTACAGAGCACACTGCCTCCTTTTAACACCTAATTTGTTCCCTTTCTGTGCAGTCATCAGACCTGTCTGCTTTTAATAAAGGCTTGTGGGACTCTGGCAAACATGACTCCATCTGTCTGTTCCACTTCAAGGCTGTCAGTGTTCATTTTGGGCTGCGTTTCTTGCAGGCAATGTCTCTCTCTGTTAGCTGTCCTTACAAGGTTTCTTCAAATTGGATCCAGTCAGCAACACCAAAGCAAACAGAAGCATTTGCTGTCCAGTTACCTACATAAACAAGTTTGTTCCTTGTAATGAAAAACAATACAAATGAAAAGTGAGTCTTACTGTTCATGTAGCTCTACATCAAACACACTTATATCCTGATTCAGGAAAGCAGCTTTATCAAGGAAAGGACTTAAACATGTTTGCAGTTAATTAAAAGGCCGCCTTTGAGCAGAGGCAGGTTAAGCATGTGCTTACATGCTTTTGCTTATGACTTGTGAAGA